TTTAACTGCCTCCAAAATCTCACATCCGACATCCTACCTGGTAGGATGTCGGATGTGGTCTCGGATGTTGGGCTTCCAAAATCTCAAATTCTCAATGGAAATCTGCAAGTTTTGAATCGAGATATTTCAAGATCTCCATTTAACAGTCTCCAAAATCTCACACTCGGAATGTCTCGGATGTGGAGTTTGGTTTTGATGTTTTTCAGGTCAGTTCCGCTCAGAGTCAGCGATGAATGCTGAAGGCCGGAAGAGTTTGGCTGAGCATTCAGAAAGATTCAGAGCACTCTGAGAGAGGTTGAATGCTTGCCTCTAGTCATCTCTAGTCTATTCCAATCTAAAGTGTCCACAGCAGCCCCTTTTGTCTGACTCGCGATTAAGATCGCAGCGTATTGGTGGCCCATGGAAGCGCTGAGCAAGGAGGAGTTGGCTTCGCTGGCTCCGGATGCAAAGGCAGAGTGGCAGGATCAGTTCTGCGCGTGGATTGATGGTGGGTGTCAGGATGACTCAAAGCGCCTAGACGCATACCATGCCTACCTCGGACGCTTTCTCAGCAATGACAAGCTCACTTTGAAGGATATCAGCCATGACAAGAGTACCGAAGCAGGGTGGAGATCAGTAGAGGATGCAACCATCAAGAAGAAGGCGTGTGCATTCTACCAGGACTGCTTTTTACCAGCCATCAAGCATTCTTTCAACACAGTGGTTGCGAGACTTGGCCAGCGTATTTGTATGCAATTGTTCTCAATCAAATATTTTTCTAAGTCCTTGATATCGATCATTTGGCATCCATACACATCCATACATTTAACTTGCCCCCGATTCTAGTCCCTTGTTGGAGGACTTCTTTTCCAGCTGGCTATCCAAGCTGATGAAGAATCTGTGCTTGAGACAATGATGCAGGGCGCCGCATTCTACAGCGCATACACAACAGATGCCACTTTGATCCAGATAGTGGTTTGTCGAAGTCTGTCATGGTTTATCATGTTTTGGCTTTTGCGCAGACCACTTTGCAAATCGACAATGTTTGCAAAATTTTGGAGCATTTTGGAGGGCTCCTTGCCTTTGCTGTGACTGAATGCATTGGACTTTTTGGTTTCGAGCCTGCATGTTGTAGGATTGACTGCAGGTTTGGGCGCACTACAAACAAAGTCTGGGAGATGCATGGGGACCTGGGAATGTTTTTTGCTTGCCAAATGAAATTGCTTGGGCGGTGCAGGGGGGGTCCTCGCACAGAACGATGCTTTCAGTTGTTCGCGTGAGCTGTTCGAGAATGCCAAGCTGCAAGTTTTGCGTGTGGGGGCACCCTTGGCAAGCAATGTTGCGCGCATATTTTCCACACTACATGTTGGAACCCTGAGTGGGCAAACGTCCAAAGTCGCCTTCATCCTCGTGGCTGGTGGGAAAACATCAGCTTTTGTGGGTTGTTCAAAGGAAGGATGCACATTGATGCATTGGGACAGCCACGCAGCACGGGGGGATTTGGCTGATCGTTGCGCAACATGTTTTGTCAGCTCTTCGTCCACTAGAGAATTCCTAGATTTCCTGGAAGGAATTCTTGACGCGGCCAAATCTTGTGTGTGATTTTTTGCTATTCGGCTATTTTGTTTCTTGGTTTTAAAGCATA